TAATATATAGATATATAGCTATGGTACCTTCCGAATGAGGAAAAAAGTGAAAAAGTCATAGGGTCTGATCTCTTGGAAGGCAGCTATGCTCACCACTATACTACGAACGCCGGTGATCTGCTCTCAATAGACATAAAATTACCCTTCCATCTCACTGTTGCTACCAGGCCAACATATAGTAAGCACAATAATACTTGCTGAATGTGAATTAAATTCACTTTTATCCACCACTCCCAGGTCCCTAATACTTAAAGAGTGGATCCTCTATGAAGACAAGGAAACATGTTATTACTATAAATAATAGGATTATAACAAATCATGCATCATTTAAAAATAGTATTGCTGTAGTCAAAATTTGATGCTTTAAAAAGCAAGGGCTTACAAATAATTGTTCCTCCACTTTTTGTACATCATTTGAGTAATCCGATTATGAACAGATGGGAAGATAAAAGTTTCCTCAAAAGGAATAAGGAGTCTTTTTCCTGTGGAAATGCACAAGCATTCTAAGTACTTCCAAGGTTTATTCTAGGTGATCCATCCTTAATACCCAAAGAACTGTAGTCATAGGTGTTACTACTCCAAGGTGGGGCTGAGTGTCTTTGAAGTAACGTTAATTAATGGGTTTTTATGTGGGGTGATTGTTTTTATTTGTCCAAGTAGAAAGGGCACGTGGGAAGCAGATGGCTGTCATTTGGCACAGAATATCTCCAGATGATTGTCCTATTCCCTAGCTGAGCTCCGAGGAAGCTCAAACTAAGTTGGACAATCAGTGAAACTGGATTACTGTGGAGAAGTGTTTCCTGTGTATACTCTGACCTGAACTTTATGCTGCAGGATCTCCTTGCATAGGTTTGTTTACCTCACAGGAATCTTTTGAAACGATTCAAAGTCCTCAAGGACTAAAGGATTCTGGTCAAACAAATACAGTTTATATCTCTTTTCCATACCAGAAATGACAGAGAAAATGTTGAAATTCCTTAGATTTCCTCTTTATTCTTACAAACGGAACAACAGTAATGCAATGACCTTCTAGGGCCTTAGATTGCATTAAACAGCTGGTCTTATCAAAGCAGTTTCCCTAAGAGTGGATCATTTGGGCAAAGGGGCTGGGTCTTGTGTTAGACAGCCAATTGAGTATTTCCTTAAAGATATGATCGCCAACAACCCTCAAAGTAAGTATAGAACAATCAATTCAGTTAATATGAATTCAAACTATAATTTTCTCATATAATATATTTTAAACAGGTGGTTTGCCTATTTCCACAATCCACAAAGCTACAGTATTCTTTCTTTTTTTTTTTTTTTTTAAATTTTTTTTTTTAATGTTTTATTTATTTCTAGGAGAAAGAGAGACAGCGTGAGCAGGGGAGGGTCAGAGAGAGAGGGAGTCACAGACTCTGAAACAGGCTCCAGGCTCTGAGCTGGCAGTCAGCACAGAGCCCGACGCGGGGCTCGAACCCACGAACCGCGAGATCATGACCTAAGCGAAAGTCGGACGCTTAACCGACTAAGCCACCCAGGCGCCCCTACAGTATTCTTTCTAACTTGTCTACCAGCTGAGTGGAAGAATTTGAAACCTGACAAAGTCTCCAGATAGGATACACACTGTACATTGACTCCTGACATATATCAGAGATCAGTAAAAAACTGTGAATCAGAAGTGTGTAACTTAAGGGGCGCCTGGGTAGCTCAGTCGGGTAAGCATCCAACTCTTGATTTTGGCTCCAGTCATGATCTCATGATTCGTGAGTTCGAGCCCCATAATGGGCTCTGTGCTGGTGGTGCAGAGCCTGCTTGGAATTCTCTCTTCCCCTCCCCCACTCATGCTCGCTCTCTCACAAAATAAATAAACTTAAAAAATGTTTTTTAAAGTGTGTAACTTAAGTAACAAGTCTGTATGTATATTTAAATAATAGATCTCTGTATATTTACCCCTAGTTCTTGACCTATGCTGAGTCATATCTTCATTCATTTATTTAACAAATATTTTATCAAGCTCCTCCTGTGTGTGAGACTCTGTTGTAGGGATTGGGAATATGATAGTGACTGAAACAGATAAACATTGTAAAGCTTACACACTGTTACACACTAGTGCATTTAAGTATAATGATTCAGTGTATGAGCCACATTCACCAAATTTAATTTCTAAGATTGCACTAACTGACCCATTTTATTTTACCCTGTTTCTGAGCACTCTGGGCTCTTGCTCCTAAATGACTCTTCAATCTTATATGAACATTGACTGACAAAATTTCACTTTGTTCTTAGTATTCCAAAACCTGTCTTTCCCTTCGGGTGTGTCTTCCCTGAGAAACAAATGACCTAGTGATAAGCCTCCTGGCTTACAACTACCAAAGCCTACCATATTTCTGTACAGCTCCAATCAGAGGTGGTCCGAGTCATGAAGAGATACCAGACAATAGACCTGTGCTTTGTTTAAGCTACAGAGTGTATGATTCTGCATAGTAAGGAGTATTTCTGAGCATAGCTTCTGCTTGGCCCAGTGGAAACTGAAGATAAACAGGCATGGTACCAAGCCAAAAGTAATCACTTAAAGATGACTTCTACCACCCCAATCTCCTGTTTTCTGTCCCTCTTTCCACTTAGTAAACATTTTCTACCTTTTTACATGCTCCTTTAGTCATTTTAGAGGCCAATAAAGGGGCATGTCTCTCCTCTGACCTATCCGTCCTACTCTCGTGGAAGGGAGCCCTGGCTGCAGTAGCTAGAGGCCTGATCCCTAAGAGCTCCTGGGAGTGGGAAAAATTGCCTTAGGATTTCCTTCCCTGCTCCCTTAACTCTGTCTTCATTCATTATGCTATGCCTGAAGCTTCCAAGATTCCAAGATCTGGGACAACTACCCACAGGCCTGAGTTTCTGTGTGACGGTGGTAACTAGCATTGGTTGAGTGCTTACTGTGAGCTAGGCTCACACTGAGTGCTTTACATGTAGTGTCCTGCTCAGTCCTCCCAACCTGATGAGATAGGAACTGTTAATTACCACACAGTGAGCTCTGAGTGGACATTTCTTTTAATGCTGGGCAGGTATACAGCACAGAGTTTAAAGTATTTTATACTGGTTATGTATTGTGGTGTACCCTCAAAAGTTACCCCAAATTTAGCAACTTAAAACAACACACTGTTACTATCTCATAGTTTCTGAGGGTCAAGAGCCTGGAGGTACCTTACCTGTATGGTTGTGGCTCAGGGTCTCATGAGGTTGCCCTCTAGGTGTCAGCCAGGGACGCAGGCATCTGAAGGCCTGAGTGGAGCTAGAGGATCTGCTTCCGAGATGGCTGATGCACATGGCTCTTGGCAGAAGCCTCAGTTCCTTACTGACTTTTGGCAGAAAACCTCATTTCTTCGCATCTTCAGTCTCTTCACATGGCTTCCACAAGCCATGGTAGCTGGCATCCTCCAGGAAGACTAATCCAAGAGACAGCAAGGCAGAAGTCACAATGTCTTTTATAACCTAGCCTCAGAAGTGATACTCCGTTGCTTCTGCCGTGTTCTATCCATCACATAGACCAACTCTGATACAATATAGGAGAGAATTACAGGAGGGCATGCATACATGGAGGTGTGGATAATTGGGGGATCATCTCGGGGTCCATTTGGGAACTGTTAAAACCAATTGGGGATAATTATATCAGTTGTTATTTTACCAGAAGTTAAGTTGGTAACACTGTCAGCCTGGCCATGTCAAGGTTTTTTTATTCCTGTTTTATAGATGTTGGGACTTTAGATATTTGCCCAAGGTAATACTACTATTGTGGAAGAGAGAAGGATTCTAATGAATGCTGTGAGACTATAGAGATCACTCTCACAACCAGAACTCTATAGGGCCCTACCTTCAAAGGGCAGGCCATAGGCTTATAGTTCCTTTTAGCCACCAGTCCAAACCCAAGAAATAAGGTAGGGGGAACTAAGACAGAAAATGGAGTGCAGCCTGAGTCCTTGTTACTCAAGATTCCTTCCAGGATGTATATGGCAAGGCATCCTAGAAAAATGGAAGGTAAATATATGGTTAAATCAGAAGAATACTCAGGACCAGAGATAGAATGAGGATGTTGAAGAAAGGGATCTCCTGCTTCTGATGGGCTGATTGAGGGTTTTCATTTCCTAATGTGTGAAAGTGACGTAAGTAATCTGGTATTGGTAAAAAGTACTGCAAGGATGCTTTTCATTAATGCTGAATAATTAACACGATAAAAGGAAAAGATATAGACACTTGCCTTGGCAAAGTAAAAGGAACACAAATTAGAGTCATTAATGTGAATTGTTTGCCATTTGTGTTTGGCTAATATAATCACATTCAGGAATAAATGCAAGGAAATCATGGGCTCTGAAGGACAGGTAAGAGACTCGAAGAAATTCCTTTACTGGATTTTTCTCTTGGGACTGCCTCTACCCTACCTTCTCCTTCCAAAAACTAAATAAGAAGTAGCTAGCTATTCCTCTTGAAAAATGATGTTTGCCCTAGAGATCCCATGGAAAGCTGACCCAGAAGGGTACAGTCATCCAACAGTTCTGTTAGAGATGATGCCAAATTAAGAAGCTCATGTGTGTCTTCCTCTTCTGCCAAGCCTTCCTCAATTTTGCCATGGTGGTCCAGGTACTCCCTATACCTCTTCCCCCACTTTGGGTGAACACAAATCCCGCTTCAAGTGAGCCCCACTTAGGGTGAGCTTGAGTTCCACTTTGGGTGAGCCTCACTCCTCTCTTTCTCTCTGCCCCTCGTGGGATTCTCTCTCTCTCTCTCTGCCCTTCACTCATGCTCTCTCTCTCTCTTTCTCTGTGACAAAAAAACAAAAAAGGAAAAGAAAAAAAAGGAAAGAAAAGAAAACATGGAACACTAGGGGAAGACAGGCATTAAGGGAAGGAAGGTTGTACTGCCCTAGGGGTTGTTGTGAAACCCTTCCCGGTTAGATTCTCAGTTACCTGACTTCTTGAACCTCTTTCCTCCTTCCAATAGGTCTGAAAAACCCAGCTTTCTTTCTTTTCCTTTCTGACCTGTTCTTAGTATACTGCTTGGTTCTCATTTTCCTTCAAGAGTGGATGTGGAATGGGATGTATGCCTGTCTTGCTTTGCACCGAGATAAGTACTCAAGCCCTTTCAATTTTAGGGACTTTATTGGGGGCACCATGGGGAAACAGAAGGGGATAAAAAATAACAACATGAAGAAGTTATGAAATCTCTGAAAACCTTACACAGCATTTAGCTTTATCCTTATCTGGCACCCAGAAGTGTAGATGGATCCCTTTCTGCCTCTATGGGTGGAGCGCTCATCAGAGCTCCTCCTTCCTGCACCTCTTCCCTTCCTTATCTTGTTCCCACAGACTCCTTCCTCCCTCCCTGAAGGCCTCTCTTTCAAGATGTGTAAGTACAGTTTGGGTGTAGACATGTAGACGTTCAAGTGCTCTCAGGTCCAAGAACTCATTTACTGTCAGAGTCCTTCTAAGACATCTCTCTCAATGCCTCCCTCTTGCCACCTCAGGAGCTAGAAGCATAAAAACTGCAGATGAGGAGACCTGACATGGGGAATGGCAAAGCTAGGCACTTTGGGAAGGCACCAAAGATAATATCACACTTACTTTGTCATTTTGCTGAGGGCCCTTGGTAGCTGGTTTGAGTGCTTCTGGCCATCATCTCCAGATGAAGCATTTAATAGGCTGCTCTACGTGGGTGTTCTCTGTAAATGTGAATCTTGACACTTACAGATGTTAAGGGTGAACTAGATGAATCTTATCTGGCATAACTAGGAAGCCAGTACTTTTTCGGACAGACCAATTACCACAGCTTGATAGTATCACATACATACAAGGACGAAACTTGGAAGCCTTGGTTTGCTAAATGCGCATCAAAAATACTAGTCATTTTTCATAGTAGAAGAGAGAGTACATCTGAAGTCAACTTTTAAAAATGTCTCCAACTCTTGAGGTACCTGGGTGGCTCAAATAAGCTTCTGACTCTTGATGTCTGCCCAGGTCATGATCTCATAGTTTGTGAGTTCAAGCCCTGTGTTGGGATCTGTGCTAACAGTGTAGAGTCTGCTTGATATTCTCTCTCTCCTCTTCTCTCTCTGCCCCTCCCCTGCTCGCACACTCTGTCTGTCTCTGTCTCTCTCTCAAAATAATAAAAAAATTAAAAATGTCCCCAACTGTAGGTGTGCCTAATGCCTTCAACAACAAGAAGGTCAACAAAGAGTGCAAATTGGAAACAATATTAATGTTATTTCAAAGGACTCAGAAGTAGTTAGGTAACTCAGGTATATAGCTTGTTAGTAGTTAAGTCTTTAGTGATATGAAACACACTTTATGTGACAAACCTCTTGAAAGTCGCTCATATAGCTTACGTTCGAATTTATGTTTCAATAACATGGTCATAGTGTTAAGTGTCTCTCAGCATCCTCAGTGATAACTGAGACTGGTCTCCTTAGTACCCTTGATTTCTTGGCCTTCTCCATGAGGGCAGTTATACCTACATCCAGCCATAGGAGAAGAAACAAAGGCAGGTTCAGGGACCAAAAGTATTCATGATAATGGATAAAGTAATTAAAACCATTATATATAAGTAATTCTATATCTTTAGAGTTATTTAATATGGGACATTTTTATGACATAAAACTTTTATATGGTGTGTATACTTAAAAATTGATCTTAATTTGAAAAGTAAAAACTCTGCATTGGAGTTCATAGCAGCACTCTCCACAATAGCTAAAACATGGAAAGAGCCTAAGTGTCCATCAACGGACAAATGGATCAAGAAGATGTGGTTTATCTATACCATGGAATACTACATGGCAATGAGAAACAATGAAATCTGGCCATGTGTAGCAACATGGATGGACCTTGAGGGTGTTATGCTGAGCGAAATAAGTCAGGTAGAGAAAGACAAATATCATATGTTTGCACGTATAGGAGGATTAGGAGGAACTTGACGGAGGACCATGGGGAGAAGAAGGGGGGAAATGGTGGGGGGAAAGGGAGGGAGGCAAACCATGAGAAACTCTTGAATGCTGACAAAAACTGAGGACTGATGGATGTGGGGGGGAGGAGGGATGGGCATGGAGGAGGGCACTTGTGGGGATGAGCACTGAGTGTTATGTGGAAACTAATTTGACAATAAACTATTTGTAAAAAAAACAAAAACAAAAAAACAAAAAAAACTCTGCATTGGAGTTTTATGGTGACATAATTGTTTGCAGAAATTAAAAAAAAAAAAAAGAAGGAAAGAAAAAAGGGTGCCTGGGTGTCTCAGTCGGTTAAGCCTCCGAGTTTGGCTCAGGTCATGATCTCACAGTTCGTGGGTTCGAACCCTGCATCAGGCTCTGTGCTGACAGCCAGCTCAGAGCCTGGAGCCTGCTTCAGATTCTGTGTCACCCTCTCTCTAAAACACACCAAAACAAAAAATATCTCTCTCTCTCTCTCTCTCTCTCTCTCTCTCAGAAATAAATAAAACATTAAAAAATTTTTTTAAAGAATAAAGGTAAAAAAAGAGAAAACCCATTGGAGAATTTTGAGAAACTCCAGATGGATTTGAACTTATTGATGGAGGCAGAGCAACAATATGACAGATTAGATCTGACTCAAGGATCCATAATTTTCAAAAGGAAATTTGAAATTATCAGATAAGCTGAATTTGATGAAAGAAGGAAAAACCCCTAGAATTTATAATTTTCTGACCATGGGTTTGAAGAACTATTTACAAGTGTGGAACAGCTCTAAGGGTAAAGTGGGAGCAATGAACTTGATACCCTGTCCAAGACAGCTGGGCCTCCTGTTCTTATCCAGCCACATGAAAATGGTTATGGTTCCTTGGATACTCCCATGTTGTGACTTCTCCCCTCCCACCTTCCCTTCCCCCTATTATCAACCCTGGTGGGTTCTCATAACCCTGTATACCTTCCTTCTGTGGCAATTAACACAGTTTGTAATTTATTTATTTATTTGAAAATTTGATTGCCTCACTTCATCATACGCAAATTTCAAGAATAGGGACTATGACTGTTTTGTTCTGAATTGTACCTCTACCTAGTACAAGGTATCTGGTAGTAATCAGTAAATATTTTTGAACAAATGAGCCTTAACACATGTTTTTTGTTTTGCTTTTTTTTTTTCTTTTTCCTTTTTTCTGCCTGGAATGTCTTTCCTCTTCTTGTTTGGCTGGTGATCTCATATTTACGTTTTCCAAAACCCACCCTGTATCACGACTCCAAAATACTGCTCCTTTAGAGGAAATTATGGCCTTCTTTCTCTGTACATCTTCTAAGCGTCTGGATTGCTGTAACCACACTGTCCTGCAATTGTTTGTTTACATGGCTCCCGTGACAATTAAACTGTGAGCTTTGAGTCCAGTGACTGGGTCTTATTCATCTTTTTATTCCAAGTATCTAGTGGCATTAGTAGATGCTCATAGATATTTGGAAATTGAAGTAATAGTGAAGCTTATGTTTTCTAGCCACCTCAACAAAGGAGAAGTTGTTTTAGAGGCAGTGGTGAGCTGTAGATCAACAGTTCAGTGAAGGTGCAGGACACCAGCAATGCCCCCAGTAACACTGGTGTTGTTTTCACTTACTTAAGAGACTTACTGCTTTTCTCCCTCACTCTTGTGGCCCAAATGGAGCTTCCCAGGCCACTATCTATGATACAAGTCAAGACTCAAAGATTCTCTCTAGGTTTTTTCCTTCCAGTAGCTGAATAATAGACAGCAGTTCTTTCCTCTCTGTTGGTACTAATGTCAAGATATGAGCACAAGTCAGTCCCCACTACTTGCAGAATATAGCTGTCCCTAGAGAGAGTTCTGCCAGGATCAAGTGTCTAGTTCTAGTAAGATTTAATTATCCCTGACCTTTAGTGGTTTGGTTTTATAAGCAAACACATTCCCTTTTGGACTAAACTGGTAAAGTTGTTATACTTAACTGGCAGGCAGAGCTCAGCTTTCTATCGCTGTTGATTTTCTTTCCTCATTCTTCCCCCAGCTTCTCCTCCAGAGACTTCTTGAACAAATAATAAAGAATATTTGTGAGATAACAAATATATACATTAATCTCTGCATCCAGTTCCTACACAGAGTTCCTGAAACCTTGGTAATTTTCTAAGTGATAAGAGTAGCAGGAATACCCTTTGTTCTAATATTTGGTCTTTGATCCCCATTCTTGACAAAGAGTTCCTAAATCCCTTGGAATTTCCTGGGTGACAGCACTAATTCTTGGTGGACTTCTGGATGGGGGCTGGTCACCAGAAAGACCAAGCCATGATCAGAAGCCTGGAATTTCCAGCCCCACCTCCCATTCTCCAGAGAAGGGAAAGGGGCTGGAAAGGAGTTAATGATTGATCGTGTGTATGTGATGAAGCCTCCGTAAAAATCCCAAAAGTATGGGGTTCTGAAAGCTTCCAGGTCAGTGAACACATCCATGTACTAGATTGTCACACAACTCAATTCCATGGGGACAACAGCTTCTACTCTGAGGACTCTCCCAGATCTTACCCTATGAATAGCCCTGGCTATTTATATGTATCCTTTATTATATTCTTTAATAAACAAGTAATGTGAGTAAGTGTTTTCCTGAGTTCTGTGAGCCACTCTAGCAAATAATTGAATCCAGTGGGAGAAGGCCATGGGACCAGTTTGTAGCCAAGTCAGACAGAATATGTGGGCAACCTGGGGACCTACTACTTGTGATTGGCATCTGGGGGGGGGCAGTCTTGTGGGACTGAGCCCTCCACCTGTGGGATCTCAGGGTATCTCCAGGTAGATAGGGTCAAGACTGAGTTAAATTGTAGGGCACCCAGCTGGTGTCACAGAATTGCTTCTGGGAGGAAACAAACCCTACACATCTGGCATCAGAAGTATTATGAGTGCAATGGCTGGCTGAGTCAGTAGAGCTTGCCACTCTTGTCTTGGGGTTGTATGTTCGAGCCCCACGTTGGGTTTAGAGATCACTTTAAAAATAAAACCTTAAAAAAAAAGAAGTGTGGTGAATATGGTAGTGGTGTGAGAGTAAAGGAGA